GTATAGCCATATATATCTCTGAAACCAGAGCAAGTGTTTCTTTGCTATCTTAACATGGTGAAAATTTTGTACCCTCTCTTTTTAAGAAATTAAACTTTTGACTTTTGATATTTTTATTCATACAGAGCTGAAGAAAATTCATTCAAATTAAGAATCCCCAATGTCTGTACATTTCTTGTCCTGTAGATTTAGTGTTTTCAAACAAAAAGAGATTTGCAGATTGTTTAGAGAATCATTTAATGATTGGTGTATTCTACTTGTCACAGAAGTGTTACGGACTGATTAAAAAAATTGTTGAGAATAAAATAACCAAAAGAGAGTAAACAGTCAAGTTGATGAGTCGGAGTAGGGGTGCCGGACCGATCCAAATAAAAAGGTATTGGTTCGGTTCGGATCCTCGCCAAAAACCGAATGGTTCTCAAACTTCAGAACCAGTATGTATCAGTTCGAACTGAAACCGAACCAAAATACCAAATCATAACCGAAAAACCGAACATTAGAAATCCTAACTAAACTTATAGGGGCCACTAAACTTTCACGATTTTGAGATTTGTGAAAGATTGATTCATGGCGTATATGTTTTGTCTTAGTCTTGAAAAAATCAATTCATGCTTTCCATGGAATAGATTTTAGCATGTCTTTCAACTATGGATATAAATTTCTGAAGTTTTAATTAATAAACAAGTTCATGAATAAAAAGTGAAAAACGTTGTGATTGTTTCATGTTGTGTTCATTTTGTTATGTTGTCTTCTTGTCTTTAAACCATTTTTTTTTTTTATAAAATCTTTAAACCATTTTATGTTTCATTTTAGTGGGAGTTATTGGTTCTTATATTTTATGAGAAATTGGCTGCATAATACAAAAAAAAAATATATTTGCAAATCCAATTAAAACCCCCTATATGGCTAAATCTCACCCCTTGAATTTAGAGGTTTTGGTTAGATTTTCAAATATAACTTTTTTGTTGGTTAGACAACAAATTGACCCTATATTTTAATGGATTTGGAAATCTTATAGGATTTGAAAAT